GTTTTTTTGGGGCATTTTTCGCCAAAAATGGATTTTTGGATCCTGAGCCCTGGCTTTACAACCAAATGATCTGAAATTCGGTATAAGGGTACCTTGAACATGTGTCTACAGAATAGCAGTCACATATTTGGCATACACCACTTCCAAATGACTCATTTGGGGGACTTTAATGGCTATTTTCAGCAAAAAAAGGGCCAAAAGTGCTGTACCCGTTCCATGTTCTATCTAAAGAATGGCCGGTTCCATCCATGGAACACGTGTTCCATTGCAGGTTACCTGAGGTCACATTGCACCTAAGTGGTGCGTAATGACCCACACATTCAATCTAATGTACCTTCTCAATATTGTCAAAGAATGCCTACAGACACAGACTACGTAAGTACGAACTGAATCAGCAAATGCTTTCTTACTCTTGCAGGTATTATTACTAAAATCCAACGGTGCGGGTCTGGCGTCTGGTCTGTGGAACGCGCTTGAAGCCCGCGCTGTTTTTGGAACGAAAACGACGCCTCTGAAGAGGTGGCCTCGCGCGATTACGAAGGAAGCTCATTACGTCCCAAGAATTGATAACAAATTATATACGGACAGAAAGTAGAGACTTCAGGCTATTTTACGCACTAGATTTCTTTTTATTGTGAAAACTGAAATAAGGTAAAAACATCGGAGGAATTTCCACCAAAATCAAGTGGTTTCAGGTCATATTATCAAACGAGCAGAGGTTAACAATCGTTTTAAAAAGTCACTAGGAGTAAAATAGGAATATTAATATTCACAGATACAATGAAATAATGAAGATATATAGTTATAAACTCAAGCAACAAGCTTTGTAGTAAGAGGTCCCGACTCCCGGGGGTTTTAGAACGTAAAATTGTCTGAAAACGGCGCGCGGTTCGCCGTGAGAGTCAATCATAAATCTTAAGGTCAGATTTATGTCACTTCGGGTTTGTGAATTGACTTGAAACTCGGAATCCATACACAGGAGACCATTGTTAACATAATTCCACATGGAAATTTACGTTCTACGGAGCGAGGACCTGTCCAGAGTAGGTGATAACTAAAAATGTCAAACCGGGCTCGTTCTATTCTGGAATCAAAATTATGACATGACCTCGCGCGTTTTGGGGGCATCTGCATGTCGCCCTCGAAATCGATAACAAGTTATATATCAACACAAACTAGAATCTTTGCTCTTTCATACACACCAGATTTCCTGTTGGATCAGAATCTAGAACAAGTTAGAAATGAGAAGGGGAATTCCACGAAAATTACCTGCTTTGAGGTCAAATTTTTGAAAGGATCACGGTATGCCATTGCTTCAAAAATGTATAGGAGTAACAAATGAAGCTTACATATTATCAATAAGTTAAAGTTAGGAAGATAAATAGTTGCAGACCTCAGCTACAAGCTTTCAGGTAAGGCGTGTCGGCCCCCGAAATCATGGAACGGACTACTTTCTTTCGCGGAAGGAAAATAAAACTGCCTCGAACTCTCGACTTGGCGTGGCGGCTGCTAGGACCTTCAAAATGTATCAAATCTCATCATTGTTAGTTTTTGCATACCTGTAATAAGATTAGTAAAGCTTTCGAGATCCAAAGTACTTGTTGTTTCATCTTTGTTCTCATATAGCTACTATTTGAGAACCTTTGCCAGTTTTGCACTGGGGTAAGTTTGGAATAGTCCACTTTTGCGTGGGAGGGAGATGGACTGAAATATGCTGTATTTGCTCCCAAGCAAATGTCGGCCTTTCTAGTATATTGTATTCTTAAGGATAAGCATAAAGGGGTAGTGTAGGAAATTAGGGTGATTACTCAAGAAAAAGAGTGTTTTTGTTGTTTTATGTTTATTGCAAACAGATAGACTGAAGTGCTGATTTTCCCAGGATCGTTACCGCTGTTCTTACCTACGATACCTACAATAAAACACACGTGTAAACTGGAGTAGGCATTAGTGGGATGATTATTTATAGTATCACATGAATGGAGTCACTTCCTTGTATAGTGTGAATGGATTTTACGATTATAATTATACATCGTACTAGTAACTGAAAGACATGGTAACAATTCAAACCCAATCGTGTCCTAAATGTAACTATGGATGACAGTTCTCTTATTGGCTTCACGTGAAAATGGAGCACATGGCTTGATCCTAGAGATACGAATTTAAGAACTTTGTAAACAATTAACACTCTAATGCTTTACAAGGGTTTACCTTTGTAATTGGGTTCTGCATTTTCAATGGCGATAAGCTGGTAACCGTAAGTGCCATTTGCAGTATTCCCACATATATGGCACTTGAAGATGTGGTTAAGGTTCAAACAAGTGGTCGTTAACGTTATCCGGGCTTGAAGAGCCTTCTACTTTTAGACACAAACACTTTTCGTCCCTTCTTAGAGTGGACTGGCCGAAAGACGACGGCTTTCTTTCATAGAAGCAAGCATACGTTTGAATAAACCAGTTATATATGTCAAGGACGTTTAGATAAAACGTCATCGGTCATATAACGACTTTGGCTGTCTTTTCCCTCATCGGAGTACATGTATAGTCCTAGCTATTGTAGCAGTGTGGGGTTTATAGGCGCTACCAACTGACCCGGCCGATGGGTCTAGACCTTTTCAGCCGAGCGGTTAGAGCGTCTGGTTGATGAAGCTGGTGCTCGGGAGGCCGTGGGTTCGAACCCCGGCCCGGGACCAGAAGGGTTTTTATCTGTTTCTAATGTTTCTTACACTATAAGGGCATCTTCTCTAATCTAATCTAAAGATAAAACCAAGACACGCTGAAAGAAGCTTAAGCTTTAGGAAAACGTCAATCTTTTATTATTTCTTTAAAATAACAATATTTTGGGGTACATGACTTTTGTAAGGTACATGTACGATTTCAAATCATGCCGTTTGTAGTGTGTTATAAGGAGGAACATATGGACCAAAATCTCGTACATACAAAATTTGTTCAACACATGATCCGATACGATAGTATTAGACTTAGTAAACATGTAGACTCAAGCATGGCACCCAGGCTACTAACAGAAGATGTCCCTCCTTGCGACTGAATTCTGACTCCTTTCCGCGGCATGCATAATGAGAGTTTACCCGTCATGCAACGGTGCATGAGCATAAGCGTACTATGGCTACCCATTATATACAAGATATCACAACTGCAAAGTTGGAAACAAAAATAACCAATGGCAAATAAGCAATTCAAGCACATCAAGCAGGGTTGTAGTAACATAGTAATTCAAGCAAGCCCGTGCACGTACTGAGGTATTTGTTGATCACATATCGACGTAAACGTTTAATCGTGGTCACATAAATGAATGCAACACCGCCAACCTGATAAAATGTGTCCTTCTAGATATGTGACCTTTATCAAGTAATCGATGCATGTACATGTACATCTGCCGAGTTTCTCTCTTTCTCACCACCACTGCGCGTGCGCTGTGACAGCCAACAGGGACACGAGCAGCACCCAGGATACAGTCAGCACACAGGAACCGGAAACTGCAAGGGAACATGGGAAATCAGGATGATTTTATAGTTCAATACTCATACCACCATCATTATACATTACACGTTTTAGAGATCTAGGTGGACTACATACGTATCAAATTAAATTGGATAGTAACCTAGCTAGCACATCAAAATGTACCTATAAATAGTATAATATCACTTATTTAGGAGATCCTAATCTAAACAAACAAACAAAAGCAAACAAACAAACAAAAAACAAACAACTTGTTGAACGTAAACAGCTTCCTACCACAGCGAGCGATGCAGATCTCATTGACAGAGACGATGGGCGTGGCCTGGTGCTTGGTGATTGACAGGTCAGCCTGGTTGAAGGTCCCGCCCTGCGCGAAGAACATGTGGAGGCAGTTGTCGACAAAGGACAGATCAGATTCATCACCTGATGGGAAAGAAAAAAAACGCATTGTGATCAACTAAACATAGGAAAAGCTGTCGCAGGACCTGATTTTTCGTGGTAAAACATCGCCACGTGCACTTTCCAAACATTCTAAAACTTCCAAAAGAGTTCCATAAAGTTGAAGACAATAGTACCCAATCACTGCCCATTTCCCACTAGGATAAAAATTACCGAACTGATTCGCCTTGATCCGGCTTCGAGCCGGCTTCGAGCCAGGAATGGGACCACTGTGACCAAAAAAAGAGAGAAAACAATGGGACCAAAAAGCAGCTTTCGTTGCTTTACCTGTTGCCCGAGCACGGGTGAATTTGATGCGGAGGACTCCGTCCACATAGGAGCCTTCCTTCCCCTCCAGATCGTCAGTGTCATCCACACCGACACCTGTGGTGGACTTGGCTGACAGCCATCTGCGCATGGAGGACAACAACAGAAGAGACTGAACTTTTATCAAGGAGGTGATAAAGAATACATTTTACCCTAAAGGTATATAGTTTGTTCTGTTTATAGAAGAAGAAGAACTTTATTGCGCAACAGATGTAGCGGGTACAACGTATGGCAAAATGATACATACATAGTTTGTGGTGTCAACATACACATATGGTGGTGTTGAGAATATCTAACAGTTCTACTAACTGTAATAGGAATCTGGTCTGCTTCATAAACAATGTATAACAAAAGAGAGACACTAATTATACTAATCTAACTCTATTAATACAATGTAGTAATAAATTGTGTCAGGAATTAATTACGTTTTCTCGTTTTGTCATGGAATTGTGTACAAATTGGCCTACATAAGTGGAAATGTTGACAGGGCATGATAGTAACATATAGAATATCTCTGTCTTTGTGTGGGGTAGTGTTATATTTGTCTTAATGTGTATATATGACCAATTTATCACTGGGTTACATACAGCTATATATGATACTTATAGGGCATCTATTTTCCTTGTTACCTGTCGGTGATGGTCACAGTCCCATCGTCGTTCCACCACCCCACTACTGCATCAGCATCGGTCTGGAATAAACAACAAACAATAAGCAACAGATAACATGTTTCTGAATCAACACATCAGTATTGCCATTGGCTTAGAACCTATTGTTCTGAATTTAACAGACAACAAGAATTCGGAGATCTCATACCTCGATGAAATATGTAGAGTTGTTTCATTGAATATGGAAATAACGTTGTAATTAACATATTAATCTAGTTTAATTCATGGTTTTCTAAACACAAATTACAATATTTTAGCGCACACACAGACAAAGACACACAGACACACACACAGACACACACACACACACACAGCAAAAACAATACCTCCATTTTTCATGGAGGTAATAAACGTATGTAATTGTAACATTTGTGAAATTCCCTCTTCAAGAAGTTACAGGGGAATCGTTTGAGAAAATGACACAGCAGAAAGTAGCCGGTATTAGACACTTAGTGGTCGGTACGTCCACCAGTTTATAATTTTCATCATGATTATAAATATTAATGCTATTCAAATAGTCAGGGTCAGACAATCAGCACAATCCTTGGGTTGTTTGTCACACGGCATTACGGATCAGCTACCGAAGGAGGACACACCCAACAAGCAACCTGTGCTCGAGTTCCCGTAAAGAACCGTTATACCAACTGATTCATGAAGCTATTCTGACTCACTTGAAAGGTATGTTTCTACCCGTGCATAAACATTAACGGCGAAATTTGTTGTGTAGACTGTTTTTTGAACCTTATTAGAGTTTTTCAAACCTTTATTAATGCCTTATGCACATAGGCAGGCAATCAGGTGTTAATTCTCCAAGCAGATGTTAGATGTTTTCGGACGGTCAGAAATCATGGTAGATAGCTCTAAGAGAAGCCCGGCCATCAGAACACATTAAATTGTAATCTCTCCTCTTCATATCTGCTTGAAGATTAGGTAAGTTCTGACGAGGATAACGGAGGTTATATATGGTGACGTCGCGCTCTTGGGACGAATTCCGCCGGAACCAGAATCTTCAGAAACATTATCCATAAAATCTTTCCAAGCCATGATGTAGTCTGTTTGAAATGTTTTTAAGGCCTGAAATGTTTTTAATGCTTATCATGATAAGGTTTCACACAATGAACGTATGGCAAAACAACTTACTAGTATTTGTCTGGTTTTAACATAAGGTTTTGAACAATTGCATTATTCAAGAAAGAGTACACGTGACTAAGAAAAACAACCCTATAATGATTGTCAATAATATTTCAGAAATAAGCTGCTGAACCTTTAAAAGAGAAGCTTTACATTTTCTATCCTTCCGTTGATTTCCCAATCTAGACGGTAAACATGGCCATAACAAGGACGTTATCTCTACATAATGTCCTTGGCCATAACAAGGCCATTTGACATTAATATTCAAGCAGCAAGTCCCAGACAATTAATAGGTCCACTTTACTAAGACGCCCGTAATGTAGGACTAGTAGTTACCACAGAGGAACAACTACTGAGGCACGTATCCTACAAGCACAGCGGCAAACAAGAACAAAATTCACATTCTAATTTGAAAAGTGAAACAGGAACTATTGAGCTGTTGTTGCGAATTTCTGTTTTTTTACATCACATACATTCTTTAAAGTTTGTTAAAGTTTGTTCTCTGACATTTTAAAACCACTGTGATAATTTTTCCAAGAGGTTTTGAAACGGAAAACTGATAGAAGGACCATTTATCAGATTCAAATGGTCCTTCCATCAGTTGACATTTCCCTTTTTGTAAACACAAGATATTCCCTATTTTCATGTTAATTGTACAGTTATAATATTTATGTATCATCTTTTAATTCAAAATTCAACACATAAAGTTGATTTGGCCTTATAAAAGAGCTTATTGGTGTTTCTTGGTGACAGGACACCATGGGAAGAAAGCTGCGACACGTGCTGATTTTCCTTCTCATCATCCTGAAGGAGCTCAACATGCCGGAAGCTGCCGACTGCATCTGCGCACCATCATCAGCCTGCAGGTGCCCCGGGATGGGCCTCACAAGCATCCCGCAGAACCTCCCAACATCCATATTCCGCTTGGATTTAAAATCCAATCTTATTACAACTGTAGATCAGTCCCTGCTGCTGAGGTATGGGGGGTTGACAGGGTTGTACCTTCCCAATAACAAGATAGCAGTGGTTCAGCCTAATTCATTTCAAAACCTGCCGCGACTAGAATCATTGGACCTGCACAACAACCAGATAAGAATGATTCACGCAGGTACGTTTCAAAATCTACCACAACTACAACAATTGTGGCTGAACGACAACCAAATAACACAGATTAAGACAGGCACATTTCACAAACTGCCCCGCCTATCACAGTTGATACTGGACAAAAACCAGATAACAATGATTCAGGTACGCGCATTTGCAAATTTTCCGCGGCTACGACATTTGGACTTGTCCAACAACCAGATAAAACAGATTCGGGCGGATATATTTCAAAATGTATTCCTGCTAGAAAATTTGTGGCTGGGCTACAACCAGATAAGCATGATTCCGGCAGGCACATTACAAAACCAATTTATTCAGGAAGGTATATTTCAAAACCTACCCCGACTAAAAGATTTAGTCCTGTCTGACAACCAGCTAACAATGATTCAGACACGTACATTTCACAATCTACCTCACCTGTTCAAGTTGCAACTGGAATGTAACCAAATAACAGTGATTCAGACGGGTGCATTTCAAAATCTACCGAACCTGCAAACTCTTGTTCTGTCCATAAACCAAATTACAATGATTCAGAAGGGTGCATTTCAAAATCTACCGAATCTGGAATCTTTGTATCTGTTCAGAAACCAGATAACAATGATTCTGACGGGTACATTTCAAAATCTACCGAATCTGCAAAGATTGTCTCTGTACCAAAACCAGATAACAATGATTCAGACGGGTACATTTCAAAATCTACCGAATCTGCAAAGATTGTCTCTGTCCCAAAACCAGATAACAATGATTCAGACGGGTACATTTCAAAATCTAGCGAATCTGCAAAGTTTACAACTGTACAGTAACCAGATAACAATGATTCAGAGGGGTGCATTTCAAAATCTAGCGAAGCTGCAAACCCTACTTCTGTCCGAAAACCAGATAACAATGATTCTGACGGGTACATTTCAAAATCTAGCGAAGCTGCAAATATTGTCTCTGTCCCAAAACCAGATAACAATGATTCAGAAGGGTACATTTCAAAATCTAGCGGATCTGCAAACTCTACTTCTGAACCGAAACCAGATAACAATGATTCAGACGGGTACGTTTCAAAATCTACCCAATCTACAAAAGTTGCACCTTCTCTCCAATTGCATAACTAACATCGATTCTAATGCGTTTAAGAATCTGTCCCGGCTCCAATTGTTGGACCTTCGGGCAAACAATATGTCTGCCATTCTCCCTTCAGCGTTTTATTTGTTGCCATCGCTTCGTACCATTCAACTTGCCAATAACCCTTGGTGGTGTGACTGTAAGATGGCTCCTTTCAAACTAAATATCACTAAATTTCCTTTCTTTAGACAACCCCTGATAATATGCGCCAAGCCCGCCATATTTTCAGGAAAGAAGCTTACAGATGTTTGCAATGAGCCAACCATATCAACACTAACTGAAAGCAATGCTAAGGCTAGCACATCAGCGTATCCTGTCACACTGCCACTTGTTAACCCATTAGAAAGTGTGAATAACGGTTGCAATGAAACTGTCACATTTCGCCATCAGTGGTACTTTACACGCAATGCTGGCTCAACCGCGCGTCCTGCAGGCGACGTGAGCAGAGCAAGAGCAAGAGTAACACTATCTTCACCCCTTGCAATCACTTCAGACAAACCAGAATCTGCTCTCGGTTCCGAAGTGCTTTTTATCTTTTTAGCTATCGGTGGCACAGTTTCTAGCTTTGTCATAATCAGTGGCACCATCTTTCTCATAGTGAGGTGCAGGATGAGGATCAGGCATCCTCCAATAGGACTGAATCCTAGTAGTGTTGTTGGCGGCAACACACACACAGCAATTTCTATGATTTCGAATGTTTATGATAACCAACAGGAAGATATTGACAGCAATTGTGATCAGACAGGACAAGGTCGGTCTCAGGTCGTCACTGAATCCAAAACAAATATCACAGTTACTATTACCAGTGGTCATAATCAGACAGGACAGGCTCAGGCTAACACTCAACCTGCGACAATTGAAGATATGTCACGTACCAACGTGCTGGCAGCCTTAAAGGTAAATCCTATGTATGCAGGTGTGGAAACAACACCAGAATCTGCAGGAATAGCCAGTGGTAATGTACAGACAGGGCAAGATCAGTCTCATGCCACCACTGAATCCAACACAAACACCACATGTGCCGTAGTGACCAGTTGTCATGATCACCAGTATGAAGATGTTGACAACAACCATGTTAAGATAGGGCAAGGGCAGTCTCAGGCCATTACTGAACCCAATAAGAAAACCACCGCCATTGTAATGACCAGTAGTATTGTTGAGACAGGGCAGGGTCAGTGTCAAGCAATCACTGAATCCCTGGCTGCTAGAAATCTTTCTTATGGCACTGGATTGGCTGCATCGCAGCTAAATTCTCTGTACAAAACCATTGGGCAACTTGAATGACCAGTAGTAATGTTCAGACAGTCTTAAATCATCACTGTATCCAAACCAGACGCCACAGCTACTGTTATGACCAGTGGTCATTATAAGACAGGGCAGGGGCTAACACTCAATGGCTCAATGAACCAGAAATAGCCAGTAGTCAAGATCAGACATCACTGAATCCAATTCAATCTTATGATACAGCGCGTCCGTTCTGACTGCCTTGCAGCTAAATTCTCGGTAGGAAATGTAGAAACACTACAGAAATGATTTCCACAAGCGGTCGATTATTAGTGACAAACAAATCCATATGATATGATTGGAAGATCATGAAACGATTATTGTAACACCTTGGAGATCATTGAGTGGTCGGGGAAAGACCCAGTAGATCATTGTATGTCAGTGATGTCGTATTTTGGAATCCAGAGGAATATTAATACTATGTTTAGACACACCATTTCTAAATGGACTACTTACCCAACTGGTGCGTCCCAATGTAGGATCCTATACAAAGCAAAGTATACTGTACTAAATATGTATTTATTTTATGTTTATTAATTCATGCCCGACGGCTAATTGCATGGAAACATACAGAGTAGAATAAGGTAGAAAATGGTTAGTCCATAGCTCTAACTTTATATCAGGTGTTTTCACGACGTATATTACTGAGGGACTTGCTTTTTTTCTGAGGCACTGGCTAATCAACAGCCCTACGTTTTTAATGTTTACTTTTTTGTGATTTTAATGGTGAAATGTGTTTTTTTGTGATTTTTGTGATTAGCAGTGACAACTGCCGAAGAGGTCATTACAAAACAAGAATTCGGAGATCTCATACCTCCATAAAATAGTGCACTACAGTACAGAACAAAATAACACAGGTTTTTGGTTTCAAACACACAGTAGCACCTTTGGCCTGAAATAGGTCAGGCTGTAATTGATATGGTAAACTGAACATGTAGCCTATTTCAGAGGGAGAACCTCATTAATCAAACCGTAGCAGGCGCGCTGCCTCCACAGCTGGTGTTTTGTTGCATAACCTGCACATCTGTTTTCCCTGCGCTTGCAAAAAGATACAAAAACCGGAAGTTCTGCTGCAGTACCAAGGTCAGCCACCAGGAGGCCCATATTTGACCTTGGCCTTTGGCTTCCTAAGACCTACCAGCATACCAAATATCATCACAATCCATAAAGGCGTTATGAAGTTATGCTGACTACAAATGTGCGGAAACGCTATAATAAAAATGCACGCCAAAAAGCAAAACCTCAAAACAAAGGAAGGTTATATCAACCTACACCTAACGAAAATCCCACAGTGGTATGCCCATTCAAAAGCATGTCGCTAATCTTCCTGGACGTTTTCATATCACTACATAACGTTGCATTATACAATTAGAACAATATTTGTTGTCGTCCAACGAATTGAACACTTGTTATGACAGTCAAATGTTGTTAAAATCATTATTAAAACCTACCATGGACTGGTCTGTGGAGAATCCCAGCCCTATCCAGCGGTCGCTGCTCTGCCGGCCCATGACGTCAAACATGATCTTGTCCGTGGTCTCATCATACCACCAGCTGGCGGAGTAGTCACAGGCCGCTCCCTGACAACCCTCGGGACTGCTGTAACTACCCAGGCACGCCGTGGAGCCCGAGGGACTGTCCGGGTTCTCTGTGGAATTGGCCATGGAGACACTAGTAAGTAAAGAGATTTTTTACACAACCAAGTCTTTTATTCAGCCGACAATTTCGGTGACCGTCTGCCACCTTCCTCAGGGCAATTCTGACTCAGTTCTGACAGGTTCATTGTAGCAAGCTAAAGGTGTCGCTGCTACAGATGCATTCCCAAATGTACAATATTTACATATCTATACATATGCGTGATTGGATAACAGGGAAATGTATATACAATGCGTTCCCAAACGTGAGAAGTTGGATACATGTATATATATGTAAGGGGTTCGTTGTTGATCGTCGTGGGATTTCCGCCTCCGAGTACACGGCGTAAAGTAAGAGCAAGACAAGAAAAGAAGAGGACACAGAGCACACAAAAAAGACGTCCGTACACAAAGACTTCAACTCAAAAACCTCTCGTTTATTCTAAGAACGTGATCGAACGTCGTCGATCTTAACGTATACGTACGGATCCTAACGTAGCCGTTCGGACGTCGAACGGACGCTAACGTCGCCGTTCGAACGTCCGAAACGGCTTACCTAATGCAACATCTAAACACCTTATGTCATTCCCTACACTTTCCCCCCTAGTAATTTTTCGCCGTCCTCGGCGAACGATCACTATAAAATGTCATTCCCTACACTTTCCCCCCTAGTAATTTTTCGCCGTCCTCGGCGAACGATCACTATAAAATGTCATTCCCTACACTTTGTCTAACTACTATAAAACGAGAGAAATGTACATGTGCCTTTACTGCTAGGCATCTGTAGAAACCATACATTTACGGTATCGGGAACTACTACCGGGTTTCTATTTCAGAGTTTAAGTAGAGTTTGCAGTGTTCACGTTCAGATTGGTGAAAACGTCGCGTCGCGTCGACGTCCTTCGGCGTCAGTTAGCTGTCGGAGTTTTCGCGTCTCTCAAACTCGTCTCTCGGCGCTCGTCTCTCAGCACTCGTGTCAGCACGCGTCAGGACCGCTTACTGGTTAGTGGTTCCCCGCTGTGTTCCTCCCCTCCTCCGTGTTGCAAGGAGCACGAACGCCCGGCCGCAGTCGCCCCTCAGTTGCGGTAGCCCTCACCGGTCCTTAGTCGAAGGGTCGTCCGGCGAAGATGGCGTCGCTTCAGGGGTCCCCGTTAGGGTGATGACTCGGACGGGTCGCTCTTCTGGGATCGGATGGCGCGGCGGGAATTGCCCTCTCCATCACCAAGCTTCGATGTCCCACGTGGACCTGTGCAGGATGGGGAAGAGAACACACAAACACACACACACCAAGCCTGACCGCCATAATCTACAAATAATTTTTGACCTCAAAGTATGGGAGAACATACTCCCACTCGGACTAAAACCCAAGTTAATATTAATTGTAGTGTCTAGTGAAGTAAATCCTACCCACCCTGGGAATCACGAACTCTACAACCAGAACAAAGTAGACTCGTTCAGCGCAAAAACACCGTTACTAGTAAATAATTACTCTAGAGCTTAGATATTATATATAGATGATCAGAATCAATTTGGGAAAGTGCAACCACCTTATCTAGCTAAAAGTGGTATGAATTCCCGAAGGGCCGAGGCCCAACCCCCGATGTCTGGGTTTCCAAGGAAAGCATAACACTTGATTCCCCCCACTAACTACAAACCCCAAGATGGCTGCACATTTCATTAGCCGAAAACACCTTATTCATTGTCTGAAAACTTCTGGGTAACGGATAGGAGGTACTCCTCTGTTCTCCCTAACCGGATATCTAGGGTCTTCCGGACCGCCATCGCCCACTGGAGGCGCTACAGGCATTTGTACAACAACAATGGGCAGGTCCCCATCCTCCTCACGACCCTCATTATCACTTTCACTATCAGTTGTGGCACTGTCTTCTGGCTCACGCCTATCTGCGCGCCCGTCCTTTTGTTCGGCGCGTGGCCGTCTTGTGTTGCAGGGGCGAGGCGCGAACATACAGGGAGTTAACATATCCCTGTGTAGGGTTCTACTGGGACCACCTCCCCTCTCCGGAGTGACAACATAAACCGGGATATCCACGTTGGGTTGTCTATCTACCACGTGTGGGATCTGTTCCCACTGATCTTTAAGTTTAGAAGGACCCCGAGTCCTCTTGTTTCTAACTAAAACTCTTTCTCCAGGTAGCAAAGGAGCTGTGCGAGCTGTCCGGTCATGTAACTTCTTCTGACCTGCCTTTGCAGATTCAGAGTTCTTAGTAACTAAGTCATAAGCGTACTTATACCGTTGGTGATGTTTCTCTACCCACTCATCCGGACTTACTGTATCACCCGTGTTTTCCTCTGCAGAGTCTATGCCCAGAGTTAAATCTAGTGGTAGTCTCGCTTGTCTACCAAACAGTAGGAAGTACGGGGAGTACCCAGTGGTTGCGTGCTGTGTATTATTATACGAGTGGACCAACTCAGGTAGGTATTCAGGCCAATGACGTTTCTGCTGCCTTGTCAATGTACCCAGCATATTGAGAAGTGTCCTATTGAAACGTTCACATTGGCCATTACCGGCCGGGTGGTAGGGTGTC